GGGGGTGAAGCCGTGTACGCGTGAAATAGTAAATACAACCGCGTTGTTGGACCAGTTAGACCCACGGGACTGGTAACAGGCGGCGAGTGAACGAGGCTGAATGAGCGAAGCTGTAGAATTGTTACAACGACAAGGAATTGGAAATAGCGAGGGTGGTTGTCTTCGTAGATCGACGTAAGTGATGGTTAATCGCTGTTACTTTGATGGTAGGAGCAAATAGGGTGTACTTTTGGTACCGAGTTAGAATAAGTTTGAAGAACGTGTATTTTTTGAGTTGCAAGTTATTTGCAAAAATTTATACGAATAAATATTGTTTAAATATTTAAATATTTTTTTTTGTGATTAATAACCACTTTGAGGTGAAAAATGGCTATTGTTATTTTTGAGAATCTTTAATTTTATTAATATGCAATAATGTATTATAGGGATTTATTCGTGTAATAAAAGGAATGATACGAAGTTTAGGTGTTTCGATGGTAGATCGTTGGACGAGTAACCGAGGATCAACCAGTTTCGTTTCGTTCCAGTCGGACATTGATCAATTGAGATCAGTTACACTAAGAAGTAACTAAGATTCCAGGAATCTTTGGCTAAGTCAGTGATTATGTAATATTGTTGCATCTTTTTCTATGTTTTAATCTAGACCATTTAAACTTGATATCGTGGTAGCGTCTCCAATGGTAATAGGGATTTTCTATGAAATAATTCTCTTGGAAGAATTTTTCTCCACGATTCTCTATTGATCGATCGAGGACGAAACGAAACATGGTCGAGGTGATTCCGAATGAAAGCACCTGGATTCTTCTTCGTTGTTTCGTGTGACAGAAAGTGGGGCTAGCTGGGAAAGGATCCGCTTCACGTCGCCGGGTAACGCTTACGCGAAGCTTTGCAGACGCGCAAGAAAATCCATGCCGCCCTCCCCCGATATGAAATATGAGATATGGTACTTTCCTTCGATTTTCTCTTTTCTCTCGTCTCTCGCGAGGATTTCTGTTAGAGGGTAGGGACGCTCCCAGAGGGTCGGAACGTGGTCGATGAAGACGAGAGGAAATCAATGCCTCAGCCAGAGTCCAGCTCACCTTCGTCTCCCTTCTTCGGCCACTCCTCTCCGCTCGCTGCTGTTTTTCCTCCGTTGAAATTCAAACAGGACCATTAGAAAAATTCCTCTGTTCCGTTCAAGTCGAATGATTTAACCCTTTAACTCTCGCGACAGTGTCTCGTGTGGGCATTTTTGTTTCTTGTTATTTTCTGTCACTTTGGAAGTTACTTCGTCGTTTTATGAATAATGGGAGACATTTTCATAGGCCTGAGAATTTTTGTTACGTCAAGTTTAAGAGTGTGAGGATTAGGGTAGGTTAGGTGTAAGAAAATTGTAGAGAACTGTTGCAAATTTCGATAATATTATAATTTTGCTAATTACTGTATGCATTATTCACTTGGAATTACAATCTCAACTCTTTTCACATAAAAATGTGAAAGAAACTCTATCATAGCGTTACTCTCATCTGTTTTGGGTATTCTTGTATGCTGTAATTGCATAAAAATTCGCAGTCCAATCGTAAGAAAACAAAATCTCAACGATCTTCCAATCACGAGAAACTTTTCCTTCGCGTGTATCCTCCGATAAACAGAACGAAGAAATATCCCTTTTCCATAGACGGACCGCCAAAACAAAACCATCGAATGGGCAAACGAGCGGAGAAGGAAAGTTGTCTGTCCCGACGGCAGAAACGATCAAACTACCGTCTTGGTTTTCCGCTCTCCAGAGTTCCTCGAGCCGTAGGGGTTGAAGGATCACGGGGGATGATGTTTCTAGTGGGCAGGCAGAAGGAACGCGAAGAAGGGAGGGAATTAGCGGAGGAGAGAGAGAGGACCCCTAGCAAGATTTCCGGGAGTTTAATATAGTTTTAGGGGCGTCGGCCGACAGCCCAGGGGTGTAATGGCGTCTTAAACCTCAGGGGCTCTCAGTTTCGACTTTCTTACCTCTGCTTCTTCCTCCTTTTCGTTTCTGCTTCTTTCGTTTGAAAAATTGAGAGCACGGAATCTGTACTGCAAGCCAGGTTAAATCTTTGACCAGATCTCTCTTTGCCTTGAAGCCACATGTACGTATATGTACGTAGTTACACGAACGAAGAAACGTGCGTGTGTGTATCTGTTTGCGAATGTTTGGTGTAACGTGTCTCTGACTCGACTAGACTTGGTGTGGTGAACCACGTATCTGTATTCGTCGGTGTGCACCGGAAATGGTGGTCAGGGGAAACATAGAATGCACACCGGTGTGCATTCACGAACGCAGACGAAAGCATCTGGAGCCACGGTGGCTGGGCTTCGTTGGAAGATAAAGACGAAAAGGGCAACCTCGGTGCGAGAGCCCCGACGGTTCTTGATTTTTATGAGCGCGTAAATTCCGGAAGACGTCCTCCCTGTCTCGCTCTTCTTCTCTCGCGAACGGAAATTCTATCGTTCAATGTCCTTCTCCTCGGTGGAAACTTGAAATTCACCGTGAACGAATATTTAGGAATTTTTCGATGCGCGAAATTTCCACATCTTTTATAGGGAATGATACATTTTTGCAGGAACGGAGGCAGGAATTTTTGTATTCGTTGATTCGCGAGTGATACCGGTTCTTCTTTTCTTTTTTCTTCTTTTATGTGGATAGTATAAATGTTCGATGAGATTTCTCGAAGGCAACCTCGGAGGTACGGAGGGAAGTTTTTGATTTTACTGCCGCGTAAATTCCAAACGGCGTTTCGTTCTCCTCTCTCATTTCTCTTCGGTTCTCCAGCTTCTCGCTTAATGCCGTGAAAATTCTATTCATTCTGCCGTTTCATCCGTGCGCTGAGAACTTTGTGGAATTTCATCGAGCTGCGGCCCTCGACAAATTCCACCAGCACGCCCTTGACGACTCACCCTTAACCCTGAATTCTCCCTTGAATCTCGATTTTAAGTGTATACGAATCGTTGCGGTTCTTCTCCTCGCGAAATTCGCGTTACCCCACGACGTTTCCTCTCGTTAGGCAAATTCTCGATCTACGTAATCTCCTGAGTAATTTTCAGTGAAATTCTCAATTGATCTTTTGCTCAGAGAAATTGCTCATCTGTCTAACTTTTAACCCCTTTCACCTGCAATTTAATATACTAAATTCTCAATGAATTTTTCATTCTAATTCCATCCTCCCGTTTTATCATTCATCCCACGTTTAGAAAGAGGTCTCAATCACTTTTCCCCTTCCCAAACTTCTCCCTCGTTAATTATTTCATCAACCTCCTTCGCCTCGCTCCTCAATCCACGATCGTTCCTCGTGCCAAAAATCACCCCAGACCGCGATAGGGAGAAATCAAAACGGCCGGCAGTATATCCGAAAAGAAATCAAGATAACGATCGGGTATAATCGCAAAAGGTGATCGACGGCCTGGTCGTATCGGCGTGGCGAGATTGAAGGCTCGGCTAACGAGTTGTTTATGGATCCACCCACCGCCTCGCAGCGATCTCTCGGGGCTATATGTGCACGCCTGCGTGTGTACCTTCCTGGTATCTCCTGCACTCTCCTCTCTGGGCAGCCACGGAGGAGTGGACGTTACGAACGGATAGAGAGGGAGTCCATTAACCGGTCTGTGCTGCCCTCCTGCCTAGCATAGTTCACATTGCTCGACCATTCTCCACCCTCTTCTTTCACTCGTATCGCGGTCCTCTGTCTCTCCGTCGTTCACGAAAATTCCTCTCCACTTGACCGATCCTTTTTTCCTCTACTTTTTTCACACGAACCGTCTCGCTCTCTTCGAAATCGTTCCTCTTTCTCTATCCGCCCTCCTAACCATCCGATCGTTCCTCCTTCCTCCTACCCCGGCAACCTCGTTTCCTCTCTCTCTCTTTCTCTTTCTTTCAACGTCGACCGCCGGGTTATCCCCGGTAGCCATGGCAACCCGGGGGTTGGAGCCGCCCCCGGCCGCCAATCAGAACTCGCGGCCGCCACGAGAGAAACGAACGGCTACCCTACCCGTTTCCATCCACCCCTCTACACATTCTCCCCCACTCTTGCTATAGTTTAACCGAGACCTGGCTGCAACCTCCACCCTCCGCGCCCTGTCTGCCACGATCTCTTCTCTCTGCCTCGCCGCCGGGGAGGCTGAGATTCTCGCTTGGGAGGAAATCTTGACCGGGCGTGCCCCGCATCTCTGATACCACCCCCCTTTCCCGCCTGTTACTACATACACACCTACACCTTCCACGACAGTGTACGTCGAGCTTCGTTTCGTCCAGCTTTCGTAGCAGAGAGGCTAAGGGGTCAGCCTGGCTCCGAATTAACGCTCCTCACCGCCAGAATGTCGAGGAAGAAACGCGTGCAATGGCTTCTTGTGTGTCGTTGGAGAGATTTCGATCGGGTTTGATGGGGTTTCGTTTCTTGTTGCGGAGGCTCAGATGCTTCTTTATGGTTGTATCGGGGGGCATGAGGCGTGGGAGCAACAGGATGGTAATTTTTTGGGATCGTGTCACTTAGATTTGGGCCATTTTTCGGAAGCTTCTGTGCATTGAAATTTGGGACGTTGAATTTGGACGATTTAGGCTGTCAAAATTTTAATTGAGCCTGTTTTGACAATTTGAGGCAGAGAGGGATAGAGTTTATTCGTTTATTCTTTTTTACTGTGAAATTTAAAAACACTTTCCTCGGTGAAAATGAAAAACAGCGAGGAAAAGGTGTGTGTATACTATTTCCAAAGTTAAAAGAATCCTCGAGAAGGCAATTGTTTCATTTCTGAGATTAGTAATTTTTAACTCGTTTATTCTTTTTACTGTGAAATTTGACACTTTCCTCGGTGAAAATGAAAAACAGCGAGGAAAAACTGTGTGTATATTATTTCCAAATAATTGCGCAGCGAAAGGTTTGAAAGAATCCTCGAGTAGGCAATTGTTTAATTTCCGAGATTAGAAATTTCTGAAATTACGAACTTTCTGTTTGAACGAAACGCGCCTGACGATTTTTCCGACATTTCTGTTGCAGGCGAGAAACCGCACAAGTGCCAGGTATGCGGCAAGGCGTTTTCTCAGAGCAGTAACCTGATCACGCATTCGAGGAAGCACACGGGCTTCAAGCCGTTCGCCTGTGAGCTTTGTGGCCGAGCTTTTCAACGGAAAGTCGACCTGAGAAGGCATCGGGAGACTCAGCACGCTGATCTGAACACGACTCAACGAGCGCCGATTGGTTCAATTCCTGGACAAAACTCCCTGCCGAACGGCAACCCGCCGAATGCAGTGAATTTACTTCCTTAAACTGTACACTTTTATCCTCTAAGAGGAACAGGTTGAAAATCTTAATTGAATTCTTTCCTCACCCCCCCACCCCCAAAAAACAAACAAAGAAATAAGAAAATGGTGCAATCGAAACGAAACTCTTCGACAACGGCGCGTTTGTTTCGTCGTCGAAGTAAAATACGAACTTTTTACATTAACACGCACACACGTGTACACCGACTTGTACATTTCTGACGAACTCTCGTGTATTTATTATTTAAAATGAATTCGAACGGAGGAAGCGTTCGTTTTCTTCGAGTGCAATTACGCTGCTTTCACGAAGAGCGGCGTTTCTAGAGTTCGTCGAGTGGAATGTAACCGTACATTCCGATACGTTATTCCAAAGAAAGATAGAGAGAGAGAGAGAGGTTTGTGAAACGAACGAGCGTGCAAAAAGTGATATAAACGCGCATTATTGTTACCAAAGCTGTACATTCCATACGCGAGCAAGAAAGTACTATATAGGACGAGATTTAGATACTTCTTCTTGGGCGAAAAACACTCTACTGGATTCGTCGACTTCGTTGTTTTCGCGACTTTTGTTTTTTTGCGTCGTATCGTTAGAGATTTTTCGTGGATTCTATTGGGGGGACTTGTGGTCGATTGGCGATGGTCGAGGGAGATCCAGAGTGAAATTCCTTTGTTTCGAGTGCTATTCTCCGTGTTGAATCGTTCGTTAAGTATTGATAACCGTTCACTGTACTTCTCTTATTAAGTAGACGTTTGCACGATCTGCATTACGACGATTGAACGAGACTAATTTAATCTTGAAATACTTGCAATACTTCTCTGTGTTTTACGGTACAAGAATACAACAAGAAATTTACTTTTCTCCGAAAGAATAGTCTCGCGAACGACGCAATTTCAATTGATCTCGTTCGATCGTTTGTAACGGGCAACGTGTAAGAAAGTACGAGCAGCGTACTGTATTTTGCATATCTCCAGCACCTATCGTTCAAGAAAGGGCATCACCCACTCCAATGTTGCAACTGTGACCAAAAAAAAGGAACATTTGTAAATAGCACATAGACTGTATCTCGCCTAGCCTAAGCGTATAAATATATACATATATAAATACGAGTATAAATAAAGGAGAAACCAGAAGAACAAAACGAGTCGAGGCTATAAATATTATAAATAGATATGGAACGAAAGAAAAATGAAGAATTCGGCGTTTGGAACTGATTTGTTCTGACCGGAAACGAATAGGGGAAGGACGGAACGTCCCCTTTTCTCATCGAGTCTCGCCAAAAAACTAATTGTATTCTTTCTCTCTTCGCGCTATTGAAGTTTTTATTGTTGTACCATTCCTATCATTATGTAATTATTGTAATTAGAGAACTCGCTATTAATATTATTGCCATTATTATTATTATTAGTATTATTATTATTAACAAATAAATGCTGTTACCATTTGTAACTCTTTCTCAGTGACACACACGCGCATATCCCTTTCATTTTTTCTCTCTTTTTCTCGAGCAAACGCGAATTTCCACGATCGATTCGCGGCAACGCTTTCACGAAGTTTACATCGTCGTTATTCGAATAAAACGAAGATTTGTTTCAAACATTATTCCTCCTTCTAGAATTCGCCCACCCCCTTAATTTTCTAATCAGTTTCAAAATTTCATTCGATTTTCCGTGGAATCTCTATGAATCGATCGACAAATTTATCGGGACAACGAAGTAACGCGGTACAAAAGAGCGGTATCGAACGCGATTAATCATTGACCAAGGGAATCTGGCTGCTCTCCGGATCACACTCCTCGTTTCGGGCTGCACCAGAGAGATCCGGCTGGCGTAATTCGGGGTTAAACGGCCGTGCCAATTAAGCAGACTACCCCTTAACGGCGAACCCCTTAACGGCCCAATATGTTTTCCGGGCGAGTTTCGTTCGTCGAGTTTCCTCCTCGACCATCCCCCGTTCCACCATCCTCTTCCTTTCTCTCCACCTTTCTGCAACACTCGTTATTTCCCTCGGTGTAAAATGTACGGAGCAAAAGGGAGGCACGATTTCGACGTGAGATTTTCTCGAGGCTCCTTTTCACGGGGGTTTCTCGCGAGCAACAACGTCGGGAGGCACACACCGCCGTCGTTGTAACGAGGAAGGGGAGAGGAAAAACGAGGAATAGGAGAAAGACGAACGACAGAAAGGGGACAGGAGAAAGGAGAGCGTTACAGCACTGACTGCACGACACCATGACGCAGCCACGGGGGCAGATTGGACAGTTATTGCATTCTGGGTAAGATTAATTGATATGGGGACTCGTGGGGGTGGCTGGAACACGCCGCCCGCTTAAATCGTGTCTCAGGAATGGGGATGAGAGGAGCGGTGATTAACCGATTGCACCGTGAACGGAGTGGAACCGAAAGCTAACCTCTCTCTCTCTCTATCTGTCGCTGGAGCGTCGTTTCATCCCCCCTAATAGCCATTGAGTAATAGAGAGCCTCTCATTATTAAATAGCGCGAGACGCTAGTCCGTGCGCGCATTCGTTCGCTTGTTCGTATAATGACGTGATTACCAGGAGCACCGTATCGTTGGCCAGATTTATTAAGCCTGTTCATTTCCTCCGGACAGGTACGCCGGGAGTCTTCCGGCGCCGTTTTACCCTCGATCTCGTTACGCTCGTGACGATTGCAATTGCTTCTGCAACGGTGATAACGCCAGGCTTCTGGTTTTACGTAGTTTCATTGTTGAATTTGTTGGAGGATTGGATAAATTGGATTTATCGAGAGGTAATGTTCATTTGGAATTGGAAGGTGAGGTGGATAAGAGAAATTAACGTTCTGCTGTCTTTTTCAATAGGTACTATATCGAATGCTTGTGTCATATTCTTCACTCTTCTGAATCGTTATAAATATTTGGAACGAAAGTCTTTTCCTGGAATTTTTTGGGAACGAAGCTTCAACATTCTATCAGCTATTTGTTAAGCAAGATACGAATTTAATTCTCATCTGTGCAATGCTGAATTCTTTATCTCTTTACCTTGTAAAAATGATTAACCAATTTAACTTCTCTTATACGGCACAGGGTTGAAACAATGAACGACCGACCCTTACATGTCTAGTCAAACAATTAATGCAATATCTTTGTTCAAACAATTTCTACAAAAGTATCTTAATCGTTAAACTGACGATACAGTAGCAAAAGAGAAGAACATATATATACATACATACACAGTCCTGAATGTTTCCCGTACGAATTTTAACTCTTCCCTCAATTTCACAGCCGTTCCGCCCTGTGCGATCTGCATCGAGCATCGAGAAGATTGCCCGACGAAACCAGGACAATTCCGGCAAGTGGCGGGACGAACGCAATTCCCGTTGCATTCACCTCTACTCCGGCTGCGCCAATTTTCCGAGTATTTCCCGCAATTTTCTAGGGTATAACCAGGAGACGAGCAGGAAGCTCCTGGTCCTCGTCATATCCCAACCGGAAAACGGCTGTCCAGGGCGGCATCGTTTCGCTACGGTGAATGGGGTTCCTGGATGGAACACGTTCGAATACGTTTAGTGGGGACAACCGGGTGTACGGTAGCCGCATACGGATACACCTTATGACTATTAAGGTATTCACGGCTCCTCGGAGGACGCCTCACTTTGAAATATCACATCTCGGATCATCCTCTGCATACCAGGAATCACCCTCTTCCCTCTTTTGCTTACTTTCAACCCCTCTCTACTTGCATCTCTACCCGCACACTTTTTACCGTATCGTCTCCTTGCCTTGTCCTTTTATTTTCACGTATCTCGGTGTTCATGCACGAGGTTCACCTGGATACGTTTCAGCTAGCTAGCCTGGTTCTCCATATTATTTACAACCTCGTTCCACGTGTTACTTCGCAATAACTCGAGCGGTGGCGGGAGCAGTTGAACGCGACGGTGTCACCAAATTGGTGGAAACCGGAGGAACGTCGTAACCTGTCGCGTCCATGACATCCCTGAGTGATGTACTATCGTGCAGAACCGACACCGCCAAGGATACGTCCAACGTAGACGGGCCAATCGATATGTGTGACCGCGTGTGCCGATATTTTTATCTCGCGGAAACGAGCGACGATAGCGTGGACATGAGCGATGGGAAAAGTGAATTTTTTTGCGTAATTTAGAGACAGTATACCGGGTGGAAGCGTTAATTGTGCCTTTTCTTAATTGCACAGTATTTGGCTGATTTTAATTAGGGACGAGGAACAGATGTTTGTGCGAATTCTGCTGGAATTTATATTCTCCTGATAGGAGATCGTAAGGGTGGACCAAAAATTTTAAGCAGTCCCGTAGAATTTCGGTAAAATGATCCTAATTTGCAGGAGTTCGTGCGTCACCTCTATTCGAGTTCTGTACTCCCGATAGAAAATTGCAATTTTGCCGAGGAATGTTTATTATAGCACGAAAATTGCTGCTCCGATGTTACGTTGAATTAAAATTGTTAACATTATGCAATATGCTGTGTATATTTTATTCGCAGCTGAGTATTAAGTATACACTGAACGTCTTAGATATTAGGATACTCATTTTAGAATGTATATAATTTACTTGAATTTTTGAAATTGCAAAGGATTCGTTCATTTAAATACAGTACAGAATCAGCCCGTTTGAGATGTGCGAAAATTGCATTCATCGAGAAGAATTTCGACGAGCAACGTTGACACGCATCCGAGGGAAGCAAAACAAAAATGTAACGCGCAAACAACACACGTCTCCGTTGAAATCCCATTTTTCACGAGCTGGGCATAATCTCGTTTGTCCGCGCGAGGATTTTCCCGTCAGTCAAACGGTTGTACTTCGGTGTTGGATTAAAAAACGTCAATTCGCCATTATTGTCCGCGTTACGTTGTCCAAGCGTACGGTTAATGGAATTTTTGAGAAGGAGATTACACCTCGCGTTTTATCCAATTTGCCCCGTTGCATGCCACTCGCTAATTCCACGCTCGTCGTCTGCTATGGACTCTGACATCGTGGATCTTCCTTCAACCGACACCCTTCCGCCTCCAGCTTCCTTGTAATTTTTACCACGTTTCGTCTATGCAATCGTTCTCGTTC